AATTAGGTTAGGACCTTATTTAATTAAAGATACAATACTACAGTTTAGTTTCAGCAGCTGACAGGCAATGGAAGCTCACAGCCATCAACAGTAATCCTGATTCAAATAAAGCCTTCCATTAAACTCAACTAAAAGGAAGGAGACATTAGCGACAGCTATAATCAAGAGATAGCATGCAGTACTCTGTAACACAGCTCAGGATCCAAACATAGCATGCAATCACCACTATAATTTAAGCCTTGTGCAAGAAGATCATAGTTTAAAGTACTTAGCATGAGATTCTCTCCGTCTCTGGAAGAAGAACACTGTCCACAAGAAAATTTAAGAGCTGCAATTTGAGATACAGACAACTATTTGAGATGCATAAACTCTCCTTTTGTTGACTCCTGAAGCCCATTTCATCCACATTTAGAACTTATATATAGAAAAACGTACACCATTCACAAAATAGGGCCATTTTATGAAAAATCAAATGTTTTCCACAACCTACACCTTACTAAGGTGTTGCTGCCCAGAACTGAAAACAGACAGCTTGCTTTTTCACCCAAGATGTTAATTTCACCTGAATTAATTGAGGAAAAGAGGAAGCAGGATCCTAAGCAAGGGAAAAGAGAAATATTTGTTGTAAAATGTTGCTGGGATAAATCCTATGGTTTCCTAAATCTTGTGAAAACATCATGCCTGTCTGAATGATGCACCATTCTTTTCCCCAACAGGTCAGAAGAAGCATTCATTCATACACAGACATGTTCTCTAATATTAGTAAAAGGTAGGTTATATACTCTAAACACTGCCCTGTAACCAGATACTATTTAGCAGAATAGTAACTCAGATATACTGAGCAGTTACAGTACTCCGTGCAACTACTGCACAATAGAATTCCAGTGGAAGAAATGCCATAATTAAATTCCTTTATTAGTGCCAAAATCTGCAGAAAACCTTCAGGAATCTAGCATTCAGGTTGCTGAAGTCATTTTTTTTTAATTATTCCATTCTATTTCCTTTCTTACTCTCATAAACATTTACTATGTATCTAAGTTGAGGAATGTAAATTATCATTGCTTAGGACCTCATATTTCTCTCTCTCTTGTTCCTTACAGGCTGATTTCCTGCAGCTTTCGGACTATCCCACATCTGCATATAATGCAAGTTCCAAACATCTATCCCCATAATAGAAAGGTCAATCAATCATATCTATGGTATTACTTCATGAAATTGGCAACCAGACAAGCCAATCACCCCAAAGGGGAAGGTGTTCTCACCAGAGAACTGCTGCTATGACAGCCATTGTACCTGTATACAAAAGTCCAAGAAATCCAACAGCAATCCAAACCCACAGCAATTTTAGCAATCCAAATATTTCTGTTTAATATTGGCCTTGATTTTGCTGTATGAGGGGGTTTTGTTTTTGGGGTTTTTTTGAAGCAGAAATAGGGATTCATTTCTATAATTTGGGAAGCCAGATCACTGAAGATCTGGCTTAGTCTTTTCTCAGAAGACCTGAATGGAGTTTGAGTCTTTGCACCTTTGCTGCAGAATATAAAAGGGCAGATTGAGGGGAGGGTATGATTTACCTATTGTGAGAAAAGTGATTTGAAGAATAAAAGGGAAAACATGGCAGCAAAATTTATTTACTTGTAATGTAAATAAATGTTTTTTAACTTTTATCCCGCTCTAATTAAACATGAATTAAAATAACATGTTTTTCCCCACAGTAATTGTAGCAGCTGCAGTTGCAGGTGGTCCTCGACTTATGACAATTGAGCCCAAAATTTCTGTTGCTAAGTGCGACATTTAAGTGAGCTTTGTCCCATTTTACAACCTTTCTTGCCACAGTTGTTAAGTGAACCATTGCAGTTGTTAAGTTAGTAACACGGTTGTTAAGTGAATCTGAATCCACCATTGAATTTGCTTGTCAGGTGGTCACAAAATGATCACATGAACCCAGGACAATGCAACCGTCATAAATGCATGCCAGTTGCTAAGCATCTGAATTTTGATCACGTGATCATGGGGACGCTACAAGTTGTGAGAAAAATAGTCATGTCAGTTTTTTCAATGCCGTTGCAACTTCAAACGGTCACCAAATGAACTGTTGTAAGTTGAGGACTACTGTACTGCTATACACTCCTCCCCTTCTCCCCATTTTTCCATCCTCACTTCAACTAAGGGAATTGTATTTTTAAGAATTTGATGTTCGTCTATGGATCTCAAGACTTCCAAAAGATATATGAGCGCCATCTTGTTCTTATGGCAGAGTGGCCAGGAAGCAGCTGTTAAACTTGCTGTATGTGTTTAAGTTCCAAGAGCTTCTACTGAATGAGTAGGGAAAAGGGAGAGGCTAGGCAAACAAAAAGTTAATATCATTTTTACACATCTGCCAGGGGAACTCAAACTTAGAACTTACAACAGGAAAGCCTTTCCCTCTCTTGTCCCAAAGGTGCTTTTCCAAAAAGCAACTGGACTTTCTTGGTATTTTCCAAGAAATACCAAGAAACATTTGGTATTGGAAATGTTTGGAAACATTTGGAAAAATTTCACTTCTCATCCAAGAAGGTTCTTCAGTTCAGCTTCTTGGATGAAAAGCGAAATGTTTTCAAGGGGAAAAAATCCACTTGTCCTTTGGAAAAGCAACTTTGGAACAACCATGACTTGGATGATTGAAAATCTCCATAGACATCTTTCCCTCCCTTAATAGAACCCGAGAGAACTGCAAGCCAGGTATCTGCTCAAGGGAGTATAAAAGTTTGGAGTGTTTATTCCTGCTTTTCCGTTCTACATAGTTTTCCAAATATTATGATTACCATAAGGAAAACAGAAAGCCTGTTTTCAAAAATATCAGATAATTGGCAAAGTACGGTATCTTGAGGAATTCAGATGTCACTGAATATTTCACTGTAAAAAAATATGAACCCAAGTGCCACTGGCTTTGTATATGCCAGTAATATGACAGCTGCAGTAATACAGTAATATGACAGCTGCAGACTAAAGGTCTTTGGCAACACAACTATAAAAGTTCTCGCTATGGGTGTTTGTGTACCTTTTGAAGATTTTCAGTGGGTTGTTTTCATCTCCTCCCCAGCTGAGAATTTATGCACTATCTCAGAATTTCCTACTGTAACAGCTACCTATCCACTAACACCCATTATTCCATTTAACTGCAGGATAGAATTGCTGGGCCCATCTGCCAACAGCAGCAGCACTTTTCCTTTTCAGTTTATTATTATTGTGACAATTTTAATACTGCCCTTCTGCCAAAACCCTCATGGCAATATATAAGCAATCAAAATTGAATATTTATAAAAATTGTAATAAAACATTTAGAAAGCCACTAAATTTAAGAAGCCATTAAAAATGGTAGTCAAAAAAATCTTGAAAGGGGGACTATTTAATGTTGGACAGAAATAGCTACCAGAAACAATATTTCCATCATCACTGACAAGGGAAGTTCCTACAACACAAACCCCATTCCTTTCTTGCACTGAAAATGTTATCTAGCTCAGAGAGCACCACACTTCAACACTGAGTTATAGTCTGCTCTATTGGTGCAGTTCCCTTTTTCTAAGATCCCACATCTATAGTGATTTCTTTTCCATTCTATTCAGTCATGTTTAGAATGAAGGAATGTTTCAATAGACTTTAAAAAATAGCTCGTGCTATGATCTTTTCATTGACAATAATAATAAGGGGGGAAATACTATGCTGGTGCTTTAGAATTTTCTTGTAAGAGGCTCATACAATAACCAGTAATTTACATCTATTTTAAAACACTACTGCCCAATCCCATTTGTTGTTTAACTGGAGGTGCAAGATGATTGAATGTGACAATTCTCTTAAATATAGTACATAAAACTTCCCTATGCTGAATCACTGTTGAGTCCCACTGTCATTCCAACTATATTGACTGTCTGGGAAGTTACAGTGTCATCCTATTTACCGGTAGTTACACAAGTCAGATAATGAATTTAATAGCCTTAAATTGTTAGGACTGGATCAGTATCTTCCTACAGTAACACTCAGAGAAGATTCCCCCCCCCATTTTTTTAAAACCCCAAGATCTTTTAAGGTATGCTGCTGTCATATCTTGGATATAATCTAGATGGCAAAAGAAGTACTCCATCACTTAACAATGGCTGCCTGTAGGGAATATATATAAAGGCACCTTATATCAAATCAGACTGCTCATCCATTGGGCCAATTTCTCTCTAATGCTGCAACAGGAAGGGGTTCTTCTGACTCCTTTATTAATTAATTTTAATATCAGAGATTCTTTAAAATCTCTGGTTATCTTTGAGACCGCCTTCTACCGCATAGCTCCCAGCGACCAGTAAGATCCCACAGAGTTGGTCTCCTCGGGGTCCCGTCAGCTAAACAATGCCGGCTGGAGGGCCCGCGGGGGAGGGCCTTCTCTGTGGCTGCCCCAGCTCTCTGGAACCAGTTACCTCCTGAGGTCCGGACCATCCCCACCCTATTGGCCTTCCGAAAAGCAGCGAAGACCTGGCTTTTCTGGCAGGCCTGGGGCCGTTGATCTCGCTTTGCGATCTGACGAGATCCGGCCATGAATGGTGTGAATGGGCTTTAATGTCTTTAATGTTTGTTTTTTTTTAATTTTGATTTATATCCGCCCTTCTCTGGAGACTCAGGGCGGCTTACAATGTGCTCAGCAATAGCCTTCATCCTTTTGTATATTTATACAAAGTCAGCTTATTGCCCCCACAAACTGGGTCCTCATTTCACCTACCTTAGAAAGGATGGAAGGCTGAGTCAACCTTGAGCCTTGGCGAGATTCAAACCTGCAGTAATTGCAGGCTGCTGGTCTTAATAACCAGCTTAATAACAGGGTGCCTTAGACCACTATACTACCAAGGCTCTTTTTAATTTTTAAGTGTTTTTATAGTGATTTTTTGAGTGTATTGTGAGCCGCCCTGGGTCTCCGGAGAGGGGCGGCACATAAATTGAATAAATTAAATAAAAAATAAAAAACAGAAATGTAAATTTACCCTGCAGAAACTACAGCCTCTTGGTTTAGTCTATTCTTCGTGGCTCAAGGCATTATTTTCAAAAAAAGGTCCAGCAACAACCATTACTGGGCAATTTGCAGTCTTCCGAATGACAACCTGCTTTATAGATTCCTCTAGTTCTACCACATCATACGTGCAACGCAATCATTCCTCCTTTTATTTCCATAAAGGAAAGTCAAAACGGAGATCCACGAGCGCTGAAAGGAAAGCAAAAACCGTGTATACATTTCCAGATATGAAGAAGTGTCAGGTTCCCAAGGTCTCCGCGAGAAGCCTCCCTCCCTCCCTCCCTCCAGGCAAATAGTTGAGTGAGGGGTTATAAGTGTGGCTCATACTGACCTCTGACGTCATCAAACGACGCCTCGCCTCCTCTCTGGACCAGCCTACCCTGTAAGACTGTTGTCCTTCGGCGGCAGATGTGAAAGCCCTTCTCCTATTCCCCAAAGAGGCCCCGCTCGGCCTCGCCTCCTCACTGAGGCACTTCCTCTTTGGCCCCGCCCACCGGAGAATCAGCCAGGCATATCGCGAGATCTGCTAAAACCCGCGGGATTCCAATTCTCCACTCAACTTAGTCGTGCCCCACTCAACCCAGGCCTTCGAAAGGAGAGTGAGGACGGGAAGGCTGTTGCTGTAATGAAACAAGAAGAGGAGCCTTTCGGGACATCTCGGGCGGCGTGAGAACGCCAAATCCCGCGATGTAAAAGGTAGAAAGTTACCTGCTGGCTCCGCCCTCGGCGTAAAAGATCTCGCGAGATCTGAAGCGAAGCTTTTTTTTTAAAACGAGGCTTTTTAAACTCCCCGCCTTCTGGCTCAACTCCCAGCCCCGCCCCTTCAGGCGAAATCCAAAATCAAAGAGTTTCTCTGAGGTCGTCCTGTCACGGAACTGCGAGATCTCGCGAGATAGCGGTTCCCTACCCGTCTGGTCTAAAAGCTGGTTGCCTTGGTAACCGCGTCTGCCCAGTCTTGTGGTTTCTTTTCCCTTCTGGTGGCTAAGATAATGATAATACTGTATCCGTGTTATTTATCATTAAAGGCTAAACATTTATTTTAAGTATCCACCAGTCATTAGTTTTTTAAAGTCGGGCACCTTTGGAAGAAGAAAGCTATTTTTCCGGGGGGGGAGAGGCGGTTTGGTAGCGAAGACAAAAAAATATAATGTACATATGGTTTAATTTCTCCTTTCAGATCCTTTTTTTAGCTCTTCAGTTTCCATCACATGAGATTTTCGGGGAGCATGACATGCAACTTGTCCAAGAGGACAGGGAAAGAGCTTAATGGCTTTGTGAGGGTCTGATGAGAACCTTTGCTCAAAAGAAGGAAATTTAAAGTATAAATATAAGGAAATTTAGTTTAAATATAAGGAGTAGTACTATAAAAAAGTAAAACAAGTAATGTGTAAAATTGCGGGTTTTGGGCTGCATAACTTACCATTATTTACTTATTTCCTTACTGAAGATGATAGTATACTGTCTAATTGAACATAATTTCCATCAGAATTTGATAATCTTTGAAATTACTTAGCTGTTTCTGTGGCTTCATGTAATTGAGGCAATTATACTATTGCTACTGCAGTATGCTATTCTAATTCACTAAGAGACTACTGCCTTGTGGTTACCATATTAATCATCTATTTTTATTAATCATAGTTAATGATATTGCAGTCTGATTTTGATGCAAAAAGTATTTCTCAAGATCAGATTTGCATACACTTTTACATGTAATTATTATCTTTTAACTTTCTTGCCTACATTATTTGTAGCCTAAACAGAAAACAAAGCAAAATTAAAAGGAAATACTACGGTATATTATTATAGCTGACTAGAACATTATCTAAAGTAAAGTTTTACTAGTTGTTATGCTTTGCCTGCGATAGAATTGTATTTAAAGAGTCAGTGATCATTTGTATCAGATAATCAACCATTCAGGAAATGTTCATTGGGACCCCACAGTTAGGACCGAAGTATAGTTTATAGATAGAAAAGGCATTTAGCATAGTATACCAAAATTTAGTCAACCGGCTAAAAGTTACTGAATACAAGTTTTCCTGCAGATGAACAAAGCATATGCATGCACATAACCAAAAATTGTACTAAATATTAAAAATGTTGTCAGTAGACACCAATGTCAGAATAGGAAGTGGCCATCTTAAGTACAGGTAGTCCTTGACTTACAACAGTTCATTTAGTGACTGTCCAAAGTTACAATGGCACTGAAAAAATGACTTATGACCGTTTTTCACAGTTACAACCTTTGAAGCATCCCCATGATCATGTGATCAAAATTTAGATGATTGGCAACTGGTTCATACTTATGATTGTTGCTGTGTCCTCTTACGATCCCTTTTTGCAACCTTCTGACAAGCAAAGTCAACAGGGAAGCAGATTCACTTAACAACCAGGTTACTAACATATCAACTGTAGTGATTCATTTAATAATTGTGGCAAAACTCACTTAACAAATGCCTCACTTAACAATAGAAATTGTGGTCGTAAGTCGAGGACTACCTATACAGAGATGCGATGACATGTGAGATAGTGCAATGGAGGAGGAAGAAAGCAGAACTTAGAAACTCTCTTAGTAGAGAATGTAAAACCAAGCTAGCCAGGAGATAGACAGACTCTCACACTGTGACCCAGGAGGGAGCTACTCACTCAGGCATTGTAGCCCTGTTTTGTTCAGCAGGATTTTGCCACAGAGAGAGCAACAGGTGCCATTAGAGAAGGTGCCTAGCGCTAGTTCATGCCCATGCAGTGCCTGTGTTCGTTCCTTTGCCTCCACAGCCTCCTTCTCCCGATCTTTATTCTTACCCTAAGAGAACAGAAAATGCCATACTGTCAAGATTTTGTACAAATAAATACCGTCAAAAGTCCACAATATATTCCTTTCCAATTCAGTTCTTGGAACATTATTTTGCTTCTTTTAGAATGTTTGTATTTTTCCCTTTGATCTCTCTATGGCCACAGGAGAGAGATTTTTCTATGCTTTTACTTGATTATTCTAATGCAATTTAGAGGATTGAATCTGAGACATTCTCTAAAGAAAATATGTGCTCTACCTTTGAGGCATAATTCCTACTTACCATATTTCAGCAATTTTGCCTCGTTACAGCAAACATTCTGCTTTACTTTCATTTTCGTTTTCAGCATAGCTTGATTAGCACAAGGAAAAAAAATCTGCTCCAGCAATTTACCTCCTTGCAGCAAGCAGCAGAGGCCTGGGCAAAACAGCTGAGAGCAAAACAGTTGAGAGTCGGGTAGGCTTATCCAATCAACATGTGCTAACTAGGATGTGCTGAAGCTGAAAGGAGCTGTTTCTTCTTGCTGCTTGCAGCAAGGAGGTAACCACTGGGAGGCAGAGGCCATAAAGTGGAGGCCAGTGGGTGGGCGGGGCTACATTAGGTGTATAAGATGCACCTAAATTTTCACCCCCTTTTAGGGGAAAAAAAGGTGCGTGTTATACTCCGAACAAATACGGTAATTCTTCTTTCTCATGACACCTTCATTATAAACTTCTGCTATAAAACCATGTTTCATTGTGTCAAGTGGTTTATAGACAGCCCTCTCACCTTCTCCTTCTGCCATGAGCCAGTGACACGGTTGCGCAGATTGCTCAGCCGGCGCTTCACCTTAGTGCCCTTTTCAGTTTTATCATTCCTTGGACTCTCTTCACACCTGTTGTAGGTAAGTAGGGAAGAATGAAAAGAAGGAAATCAATAAATTTAACTAAAGGGAATCTATTTTAGATGACTTAATTTCTATGTTTTCTATTCAAAAAGCTTCCAAAATAGTTAACAGAATATAAATATGCTATATTTTAACCAATAGAAATGACAGGCAGAGAAAACCAATTTAATAAATAAGAAGTGCTAAATAAACCCAGTCTAAAAACTAAAACATCTAAAAAAGGCCTTAGAAAATCAGTTTTATTTGATGCCAAAACTACAGGTAGTCCTCAATTTATGGTCACAGTTGAGCCCAAAATTTCTGTTGTTAAATAAAACATTCATTAAATGAGTTTTGCCCCACTTTACAACTTTTCTTGCCACAGTTGTTAAGTGAATCACTGCAGTTGATAAGTTAGTAACCCAGTTGTTAAGTGAATCTGGCTTCCCCAATGACTTTGCTTGTCAGAAAGTCACAAAAGGTGATCACTGACCTTAGGACCCAGCAGCAGTCATAAATATGAACCAGTTGCCAAGCATCTGCATTTTGATCACATGATCATGGGAATGCTGCAAATGTCGTAACTGTGAAAAAGGGTCATGTCACATTTTTCAGCGCTGTTGTAACGGTTCACTAAATGAACCATTCTAAGTTGAGGACTACCTGTATAAAGTAGGCAACCAGCAGAGCTGCAGAACTCTATCCTGAGCCTGACGTATCCCACCTTTATTGTGTTTATAAATAAGTCAAGGTGGCAAGCATACTTCCTCCTGCCTCACAACAACCCTGTGAGGTGGATAGGGTTGAGAGAGTGACTGGCCCAAAGTTAGCCAGCTGGCTTTCATGGTTAAGGGATTAGAACTCATAGTCTCCTGATATCTATTTCAGCACTATACAATCTTCTCAATTCTACATCGAAGAAATGCAAAGATATAGAACTGATCCCATATTTCCATGAGCATTATCATTGTACAAGTAATCCTTGATTTATAACGGGTTGCTTAATTACCATTTGAAGTTGCAACAGACCTCCCCAGAGCTACTTACAACCTGTTTTTGAAGATATGATGGCCGCAACCCTTCCCCCATCATCGTGTAATTGCATTTGGGGCATTTGGCAACCAGCTCACCTTTAGGACTATTTGCAATGTCCTGTGGTCATGTGACCCTCATTTATGACATTTTTTGTTGGTTTGACATTTTTGTCTGGTTTCCAGAAAACAACACCCATTCAGGAAAATGGATTCACTTAACGACTGCATTATTGGCATAATAATTGCCACAAAAATTATCAAAAAAAATGGGTCTGGTCACGTGATATGCCTTGACTTATGACCACAATGGCTTATGATCGTGATGGCGAACCTATGGCACACGTGCCACAGATGGCACATGGAGCCATATCGGTGGGCACACGAACTCAAGTCTGGCACGCATATGTATGCCAGTCAGCTGATTTTGGGGACTTCTGGGCCCACCGGAAATCAGGAAACACACTGTTTCTGGCCTCCGGAGGGCCTCCGGGGGGGGAGGCCCGTTTTTCATTCTCTCCAGGCTCCAGAGCCTTTCTAGGAGCCTGGGGAGGGTGAAAACGGCCTTTCCCACCCCCCCAGAGGCCCTCCGGAGGCCAGAAACGGACCGTTTCCCAACTGGGGAGAGCAAAAAACGGTTCTACTGGGCCCACCATGCCATTGTGTGCCAAAAGTGAAGAGAGCATGGGGGGGTCATGTGCACATGCGCAGGGGGCGGGGCGCATAGAATTATGGGTGTGGGCACGTGTGTGTGTGACCCCCTCAAGCTCCCCACGCATTTGGCACACAATGGCAAAAAGGTTAGCCATCACTGGCTTATGATCACAATTCCAGGCTCAATTATGTTTGTAAGTCAAGGACCCATTATTCCTGTTGTATCACAGCAGAATTGGGGACAAAAATGTAATATTATGCACATAGATGCAGAGGTAACTTACTCATTAGACAGGAATTCAAACCAGGTCAAGTTTTTCTGAGTTTCATTTTTACCTTCAGGTGAGTACAACACCTGTTTAGCACTGGCAAGGAGAAACAGTAAAAAAAAAAAGGCATTACAATAAAGGCAACCTAAAAAGTTAATATACTGATGCAGCAAACAGCTGATCTAAATTACAGTGAGGATATTCAATAACATAGGAACCACCATCATTTTTCTATCTTTATGTCACTTAATGTCATGATACAATGACATTAATTCTGACTGGCAGGGTCCAGAAAGAGAGTCTTCTCTGCTATTGCCCCGCCTTGTGGAGCACTCTCCCCCAGAGATGAGGCAGCCCCCACTCTCCTAGTCTTCCAGGAAGGTGTGAAAACATAGCTCTGTGGGATTGTTTGGGGCACAGAGAGGAGCATGCAGCCATAGGGTGGTTTAACTCCCCAAAATCCCTCCCCCCACCTTTTAATTATTTTTTATTACTCCTTGCCTCTTTAAAATTTTATATACTGTTTTTATGCTTCTGATGTTTTATTTGTATACCGCCCAGTCCCCCTGTGAGGGAGATGGGAGTTCCTAAATATAATTAATTAATACAAACAGCATTTTTAAAAGGAAGGATTGGTAAAATGCTGTACTATAACTGCCTTGAGTCTAAAACTTTTAAATACCAATCTTCCAGTTTACTGCTTGGAAATAAGAAAGATATCTAGCCAAATATGGTAGTGTTAAAAAAAAATCCAGAATAATCTATTTTTGCTGACCTCTCTCTATTAATATAATTTGAATGTCTTTCTATATTTTTCCAGGAAAAATATAGTAGTAGCTACTCTGGACCTACCAGGCAATAATTATGTAAAGGGATAATAGATGCTACTTTGGGATGACAATTTTCAACACTTACCTATGATACTGTGCTAGCTCCTTCAGCACCTCCTGAACCATTAACCTGTTAGAAAATGTAATTAAATCAGATACACTTTTAGGAGCAATTCCCTACCTCTCTGCTAAAGAGCTACTTCAAGCAGGAATCCATGCTACTAAAATGTTCCTATTTCCCAAATGCTATCATATTCTCCTAGAGCTCCAAAATTTGAACAAACAACTAAGAATATTTTTCATCTTTAAAAAAAAAAAAATCTACCAAAAATGCTTTTCCCTCAAAGGGTGTCAGTCCAGAAAACATGTAAAAATACCAAGGATTCAACTCAAGTAGAAAATGTTTCTTAAATTATCAGTTAAACACAATATCCCCAGATAGGATAAAATGCCAGAACAATGAACAGGGTTTCTTTAGAATACAGATAGAAGAGGTAGGTTTTCAAGGGGAAGAAGGATGTTTTTTCCATTCAGGCACTTACACTTGTTCTGGGGCTACGTGGTCCTTTTGAATCATATCCAACACAGGTGGCACAATCCCTAAAATGCAATTTTGAAAAGATTGGGATATGAAAGAACCTTAGAATCATTCTACAGTTCTCTAGCTTCCCACATAGTTTCGGCCAGGAATTTTTAAATATTGTTTTTTGAATAAACCACAGAGCTCTGGTTCATACGTAACATTAAACTATTATGTGTAGGTTCAAATATCACACTAAGCCAGGGGTGTCAAACTCGATTTCATTGAGGGCCGCATCAGGGTTGTGTTTGATCTCGGGGGGTGGGGGGCAGGGGGCGTGGCCAGCTCGATGTCACTCGTGTCAGCGGTGCCTGTGGTGGCCCGAGCACCCTGCCAGTGAAAACAGGCTCCTGAGCTTCGTTTTTGGATGCAACAGCTTCTGCCAGCGAAAACAGAGTTCTGGAGGGCTGCACGCTGCCTTCCCTAGCTCTGTTTCTACTGGCAGAGTGTTGCAGAAGGCCGTCGCAGCCAAAAACGGAGCTCGGGAGCCCATTTTCACTGGCAGAGGCACTGCAGGCCAGTCCTTCACTATTTGCAGGGCGGCCCTGTGGACCAGATCTAAGTACCCCAGGGGCTGGATCTGACCCCCCACGCTTTGAGTTTGACACCCCTGCACTAAGCTAAAGCCAAACCCCACTATAGCTGCATATGAACTTAACTACTCTCCAAAAGAAGCTGGAAGCAAACGAACTGGCACATTTGCCCCATTGTCAAAGACAAAAGCAGACAAAAATATTTTCTCTTGGTTGCAGCCCCCTCAAATGTAGCGTAAAATATTTTTGAATATGAAATACAAGTGACTGCTACCTTACCTAATTGTAAGAACATTTATATTCTAAGTTTGCCCTTTAAAATATATTTTTCTAATATTTTTGTGCAGTGATAACAGTGAGATAGGAACTCTTACCAGTTACCAGTTACCAGACATAAAACTGTACTTCATATCTCAGGAATATATTGATTGTTCCTTTTTTAGAGAATAAAATAATTTAAACATGTCTAACTTTATAGCTGAAGAATTTACATCTTGAATTTACAATGCATGGAAAGTGTTCAATTTTAAATTTGCTTCTTCCCTCCAATTATTTCTATAGCTTAACCATTTCTAGAAGTCCATGAATCCTGTTCCTAAGATTGACAGCTCTAGGTTAAGAGATGTCCCTCTATTGGAAGGTGTTACATCAAGAGCAATATTCCCATCATATGATTGCATTTGATAGCATCTCTCTTTTCCAGAAAACCTATTAATTAGTAATCGAAGAGGGCTACTAACCCACTGAGATTGGAAGTGGGACTTCTAGGCTTTGGGATACATGTTGAGAGGGGACATTGCCACAGGAACATGAGATAGAAGTAGACGTCAGCTGTTTCCCACTGTTGTCACTATCCTAAAAGAGAGAGAGCAACCCATTAGCACTGCTCTCTTTAACCCCGAACATATTTTCATTAAGAACATAGTAACAATATGGCTAAACCTATTTAGCCCATCACCCTGTTCTCACCGTCTTCATCTTCTTTTAACAACCCCCTAATCCCTTGCGGAGTGGAGTCTGAGCAACTAAAAGGAGCTGAATGTTTACTGGCCGGATGCCCTTCCTGTTGCCAATGGAGAGTTTTATTCAGCAGATATAGTCTCATTGTGCCCAGAGAGAAATATCTGCCTCTACTTAGGATCGAACTCACACCCTTCTGATTGTGAGGCAAGAGCTCCACCTCTAGGCACGACTCATACCCTGTTCTCACCATGGAACTGTCTAAATGGGAAGCCCACAGAGAGAACCTAGAGAAATACGATTTTCTTGCTCATTTTCTCTTGCAATTGGTGTTAGAACCCTACTGGAGTGAAGTTTGGTATTCTTTGATTTCTCTCAATTATCTAGGTCAGATAATTGAGAGAAGGTGGGTTTCAGCAGGTTCTGACCAGTTCTGGAGAACCGGTAGCAGAAATTTTGAGTAGTTTGGAGAACCGGTAGTAAAAATTCTGACTGGCCCCACCCCCACCTATCCTCTGCCTTCCAAGTCCCAGCTGATTGGGAGGAAATGGGGATTTTGCAGTAACCCTGGAGTGGGGTGGGAATGGAGATTTTGCAGTATCCTTCCCCTGCCATGCCCACCAAGCCATGGCACACCCACCAAGCCACACCCACAGAACCGGTAGTAAAAAAAAAATTGAAACCTACCACTGATCTAGGTGCATTAACAATAATGTCAAACTTTTATAAAGCCATCTTGGAGATGTAGCATCTCCATTTCCATGTAGGGTTCTAATCTGCAATGGATTATCCTGAACTTTATTTTGCTAGCACGTGAAATGATATGAGAGTTTCACACCCTATTAACTACCTTTCTTTGATATTGATATGTAGAGTGACTTCTTCCACTGTGCCAATCTCCAAATTAGTTGCCATAATTTAGTTAGAATCCTTATGAAATCATCTTCTATTTCTTGCTATATTTCTGCAGCTACTCCACAATTCCTGTAGCCTACTAACTTGGTAATGACCAGAGTGCTGCTCTAACTTCATCTTAAAATGCTAGAGGTTCTTGTAAGTAGGGAATATTTTCCAAGGTATCTTAAACATTTCCACTGTACAGGATTTCAGGATTTCCTTCTATCTTTGTTTTACCTTCTTGGAATCAGTAGTTTAGTTAGTTTAGTTTAGTTTATTATATTTATATAATAAACTATAGTAACTATCTGTCCATTGGTGTCCTTTAGCATACAAATTTGAGGTTGAAATCTTCTGAGTTCAGAGATCTTTTGGAAGTCATGTCTCTATAGATGTTGCAATACAAGTAGTCCTCGACATACAACAGGTCATTTAGTGACCGTTCAAATTTACAACGGCAGTGAAAAAAAGTGAGTTATGACCGTTTTTCACACTTACGACCATTGTAGCATCCCCATGGTCACGTGATCAAAATTCAGACACTTGGCAATTGACTCACAGTTATGACAGTTGCATTGCCAAGGGCCATGTGATCCCCTTTTGCAATCTTCCGACAAGCAAAGTCAATGGGGAAACCAGATTCACTTAACAACCGTGTTAGTAATTTAACAACTGCAGGGATTCACTTATCATACCAACCAATACGCTCTCACAGAGTAGGCCTACTCATAGTACCATCATTAAAACAATGTTGTCTAGTAGTTCCAAGGGAGAGAGCCTTCTCTGTGGGGGCACCTACTCTTTGGAACAAAATACCCCTGGAATACGAATAATTCCAGATCTTCGCACTTTCTGATGTGCCCTGAAGACCTTTCTGTTTCAACAAGCAGGGCTAGCATAAACATCTAAATTCTACGCCAAGATCTTAGCAGATACACCAAGTTGACTCAATTTATTATTTACTGTTTATAAAAAAAAAATATTAAATGTATATTAAATCTTAATCTGTTCACCGCCCTGAGTCCTTTGAGAGAAGGGCAATATAGAAATTCAATAAATAAATAAATAAATTGTGGCAAGAAAAGTCGTAAAATGGGGCAAAACTCACTTAACAAATTTCTCACTTAACAACATAAATTTTGGGTTCAATTGTGGTCGTAAATTGAGGACTACCTGTACTGCTTTTTTGCCTCTTCTAACAGCTCTCTTAATATTTTTGGTCAAATTCCTTCCTGAGAACTTTGTCTTTCTTTGCTCTGGCTTCAGTCCACTTGGTAATTTTCACCCTCTGTTCTAACACCCAGTTTGTTTTCTTCTTTTTCTTGGTCTTTGGCAGTCTCTTCTCATTGTAATTTTCTTAATCCAATCCCACAATCCTGCTGTTTCTTTATCAATGAGTTTCAGGATTTCAACATGATTTGTGATGTTCTCCTTGAAAATGGTGGGTCAAGATATGATCAGGCTCATATTGTGGAAACTGGCTGGCTTTCTTCTTTCACTCTAGCTTAACTTGGAATGTGAACATGAGTAGCTCATGGTCTCCACCACAGTCAGCCCCCGGCCCCTTCTTTGCTTAAGATGATGTAATGCTAATGTGTTCTTTGAACCCTGGGACACTCTGTTCACTTTGTCCTTTGAGCACAAGAGTAGGTAGCCCCCATTTGGCAGCTATTAGAACACGCCTCAGATTTAGTAGCACCCATCATTTTTTGGCAGCCCAGTTTCCCGTTTGTTGCCTAAAAAGGTGAAAAATAGATGTGTTAAACCTCTGCAAAGTTTTAACACACCCATTTTACACTTTAAATCCCCCAATCTTTTTTCCCAAATTGTCTTCTGGGCGTCTAGATTTCCCCAGTTACCTCCACCTGCCGCCTTTGAAGAACAGCTGACCTTGGACCGATTTATTGATTCTACACCCAGGGATGCAAATATTCGCTTGGTGTATATTTATTAGGGACTCTGAAGGAGGAGCTGGCATGATCACTGTGAGCAGAACCACACGATCCAGGAACAGGCACAGCTGTGATGCACAATGCAAAATTGTGCAAAAATCCTCCTGGCCCTGACTGCTACTTGTTCCTTGAGTTGTAAATCCAGAAGGACCTCCAGATTACATACCAGATCTGTTTGGGGCCCCATTCAGTACTAAATATGGTAAAAAAAAAAAAAAAACAACCCAGATTTAGAAGATCCCCGACATTCAATGCCCATTCAGTCTTGCTAGCTTCAATTGAAGCCTGTTTTTCCCATCCAGACCCCTACAGCCTCCAGGCACTAGGACAGGACATCCTGCCTTTGGTTTTCATTTCCAAGTTCTACACCTTGAGGGACCTGATCCCACAACTCTGAAATCATCTCTTTTTGTAGCTGTGAAAATTTGGCGGCCTTTAAAAGAAGTTTACATACCTTTTTACTTAACAGAGGAATTTGATTGTTCCACCCTACTTGTATTTAGTAGACACGTCCAGATTAACCATAGTTTTAAATTATACAGTATACATTCGGTTCTATTTCAGGGTAATTGGTTGCTTTCATGTTAAAAATACTGAGGTCTGATTGGATTGTTTTTAATATTGTGTTGTTGGGGGTTTTTTTTTAGTTGTTCTGTTTTATTTTGTACCATCCTGGAACTTTCCAATGCTGGGAGAAAATGAGGGTCCCAATTCAAAAATAAATTGCTCTCTGTTTTGCAGATCAGGTCATCAGTCTACTTAGCCTGGATTGTCTTTTCCACTGACAGCACTTTTACATATTAGACAGGCAAAGGACCTGAGCCACAGTGGTGCAGTGGTTAGAATGCAGTACTGCAGGCTACTTCTGCTGCCTGCCAGCTGCCTGCAATTTGGCAGTTCACATCTCACCAGGCTCAAGGTTGACTCAGCCTTCCATCCTTCCGAGGTTGATAAAATGCGGACCCAGATTGTTGGGAGCAATAGGCTGACTCTGTAAACCGCTTAGAGAGGGCTGTAAAGCCCTGTGAAGCTGTATATAAGTCTAAGGGCTATTGCTATTGTTACTTGCTAAGTAATCCTTATCTGGAGATGCAGAAGGTTTCATCTGGGACTTTTTTGCATTACGTTTTAGTATCTTTTTTTAATGGTTATGTTACCAGGTCTGAGTTACCTCATACACATAAATATACTTTGGTAAAGCCTTAAGCCATAGTGTTAACTAACTTTTGGGGTTTTTTTAGAGGACCAGGAGGCACTTGAAGCAGCTGACTGAACCAAACAGCTAATCTGGCCATGCTCTCATTGCCAAATTAGATGGGTGCCACGTCCACTCCATAATGCAGGGCAGCCAACGAAACAGCCAAGACTCACCACATTCCCAGGCTTTTCCACAAGGCCCAGATTTTGGCACAAAGGCTCGTCTTCCACTTTGATCACACTGCTAGCATTCCAAGTTTCTAGTCCTGACCAAGACAGAGGTGGGGACAAATCAGGGAGACTCTTCTCCTTTTCTTCCTCCCTTTCTGTGTCACTCCCTAGCTCTGATGCATCCAGACTGAACCTGATGGGGAATAAAATTGGATCACAGCAGAAGAAACATTTCAAGGACACAACAGTCTTAATTCACTACCAGACCTAAGACACTTTCATTTAGTACCCTAGTATGATTTATGTTGATTGCTTATTTAGTATCCTATGACTATCACTAAATGTTGTATCTTATGATTTATGATGAATGAATTTTTATGATGACTAAGATCATGATTTATCACTTATAGCTTTTTATGTACACTGAGAGCTTATGCACTGAATTCCTCGTGTGTCCAGTCACACTTGGCCAATAAAGAATTCTGTTCTGTTCTATTCTATTCTGTTCTGTTCTGTTCTGTTCTGTTCTATTGACACTTTTAAGGGGTTTTCTCATTTTTTGTACTGATGCCTTAAAATGCAGCATTCCAGGAACTTTTTTTAAAACAAGTGGGGAAAATAGATTCTATGTTGCTATGTTTTGATTAAGTGCAATTTCTTTGATTTTTCCTGCTGTATTTCTTCAATTATTATAGTAGTATTATTCTTATAATAATATCCTGAACAACTTTGAAAATTCATTAGCTACAAAAAGGAAAGAGAAGAAAACTTTTAATCCTCATGGATACTGCCTGAGAGTTCTGGTGGGTAAGTTAAGTTAAGCAAGCATGCTGTGAATTAGAAAACTAATTTTTAGTTTATTATATTTTTGTTTACGATCTTGACATTTAACGCCTTTGCCTCACCCAATATGGCTTAACATGCCTATTAAAGTATTCATTCTCAATCATCCCGGTCATGGTTGTCCCAAAGGTGCATTTCAAAAGGCAACTGAAGAATTGAAGAAGCTTCATGAGTGAGAAGCGAAATATTTTGAAGAAGAAAACTAAGAAAGTCCAGTTGCCTTTTGAAAAGCACCTTTGGGATATTCATCCTTAGCTGACCCTTCTTGCTTGCAAATAAAACTCTTTAAATTATTGCATGCAGAATTAATATATAACTGTAAACTTCTTCTTTTGGTTTGCTTAAGCTGAGTAAAGATGCCAGGTTCCCTGTCAAATTTATTTACACCGTTTTTATAGCATATTCACAAAAATAACTCAGGGGCTGTTGGGACACCAATTGAGAATTGATGTTTTTGGCATGTTCTTCTAACAACTAATATAAGATCATCATGTTGTTCATTTCTTTTCTTTTTTTTCTTAAAGAACATCTTTTAAGAGTTGATGGAAGCGCTCAAGAGAAAGGGAGCCACAGAACACAAGCTGCTGTTGATCACAGAAGCGATCTCTGAATCTCTGATGATCCGTTGTGAGATTTAGTGGGGAGGTACAACTCCCAAACTTGATTAGCCTCCCCTCCCCCTGCCCCACTCCCACCCCCCCATCTTTTATAACTGGCATAAAGTCTTTCCTAGCCACAGGAGAAATCCAGTGCCTATGACAGAAAGCTTTGCCAAGATCCCAAGAGCAGATAATTCCTCAGGCACCTTATAAGGAGGAGAGAGTTTAAAATAGCCACTCTTCTGGCTGTGCTATAAAATCAATATTGCTTGTTCAGAGTTGGCAGTACAATAGGGAGACATCTACTCACAAGATCGTTACAGCTGAGTCCTTAAAAAGGAATGCCCAGTGTTAGTTGGACCCCCCAAATTAAACAGATATTCTAACAAGCTTTTCCTCCTTATAGCAGTGATGGCAATTCTGATTTTTAAGACAGCCCTCCCTTCTTCTTTTGAAAGGCATGTTGCAAATATCTGTTGGTGGCCCTTTAGCTGATACTAGCCAGAATTCGGGTATTTACCGTAGAAAATCAGAATGAGGTTTTGCAAAAGCTGAATTGGTACAAATAAAATGAAACGTTTTACAAATTAACTTCGTAGGCTAGGTAAATCAAAAGGTAAGTCTTTTGAGATACGAGTTCTTGGGTTAAAAGGAGAATCTTCTGCGGATTCTGTGTGTTTATTAAAGTAAGCTCTGCAAACCCACAGTATTCATTTCCTCACTAACAGTTTACGGCATCTTCATAGCCTCATTTAGCTGTTATTGAAGTGATATAAAGCCTGTCCGCCCTACTGTTATTTCGGTACAACAATTGTTGGATAACTTTAGGAGATGTTCTAAATCCCTTATGCAGAAATTAAGTTGGTTTATGACCATAGAACACATTTGGATCCTTTGTTTGCATACAATACTCTTTGTTGCATCAACACTTGGTTGATCCAGAAAAAAAAAAATGAACCCTGCACTTAGGGGAAAATGCTAGGAAGAAAAAAATGTATTATATTTTATTCTTTTTATATTCTAGGATTAAATTAACAGAAGGGGTGGAGTGACTCACACAATTATCACGCAATGAGGTATATGACTAAGGGAGTTTGAAACCCAGTTTCCCATGTTTCTTTTATTCAAAACCAATATTTGCAAGTTATTCACTCCAGACAGGCAACTAAATTCAGATCTCTGCTCAGCAATGAAGAATGAGTGATGTAAGACCATATCATTCAAGTAATATAATACATATCACACTTAACATAGTCCAGCAGATCCCAGCAAGAACATGATCATGAAAGCACATTTGGAAAGCACCAGGTTGCAGAAACCTGCCACTCATTAAAATGAACAAGATCTTGTGGTGATTTAAGAACAAGTAGACTATGGATTCCACAAGACCTTCCTGGGAATTTATTCCAATAGATATAAACTGCGTCTAGTACTGAGCATTCAACCCACTACAGCACATCCAACCCAGACTATGAAAAGGATAATACTACCATATATCAACAATATCTCAGAAACAACCAACGGATTATTACAACCACATGATATCACCATAGCATACACAAAAAAATGTGTCATGTACAACATTCAGTATAAGAATGTAACAGCCACTATGTAGAGTAGATAGGCAGAAGACTAACAGAGCACATCCATGAACACCAATTAACAGTCAAAAGACACAATGAAAACCCCTTAATCTCATAACATGGACAGACTCAACCATTGGGAAAGTATTAGCATGCTAGATCAAGCCAATTCCAAAAATGCTAGGGAATTCCTAGAAAAGGGACAGTATAAAAGCTAAGAAGGAAACAGACAGAAAACAGCCTCTCCAGCAGCCAACACCCAGATATTCAGATTTTTGTCTGATTTGTTGTTGTTGTTAGTTGCGAAGTCGTGTCCGACCCATCGCAACCCCATGGACAACATTCCTCCAGGCTTTCCTGTCCTCTACCATCCTCTGGAGTCCATTTAACCTCATGCCTACTGCTTCAGTGACTCCATCCAGCCACCTCATTCTCTGTCGTCCCATTCTTCTTTTGCCCTCAATCGTCGCCAGCATTAGGCTCTTCTCCAGTGAGTCCTTCCTTCTCATTAGGTGGCCAAAATATTTGAGTTTCATCTTCAGGATCTGGCCTTCTAAAGAGGAGTCAGGGTTGATCTCCTCTAGGACTGACCGGTTTGATTGCCTTGCAGTCCAAGGGACTTGCAGGAGTCTTCTCCAGCATCATAGTTCAAAGGCCTCAATTTGTCTGATTAACACCAGACAAAAAAAATCAAGCAGAAAACAATATCCTGATCAAAGAACCACAAAGGAGAAAATGACACCCATACAAAGACACCCACACAGCACATAAGCAGGGAGCAAACTCCACACTTACTAGCATTGATGATGTTACCTAGTTGGGTAATGAAAAGTCTTTAGATAGTCAAGCTCAGAGAGCATCAAGAATTCCACAGAATAAGATAATTTCAGAAAATAACTTGCTTTATCACTATGCCCTCAAAAGGATATTTGGAATATGAAAGCCCTTATTGCAGTCTGAAAAGAGGTTGAAAATACAGCTGGCAGGGAATTCATACAGTACATATATACATACGTACATATATACATACATATTTACTGAAAATATTTTCCTATAATCCATAGATCCTAAATTGGCTATTTGAAACTCTATTTTACCTGAAAAGTAATAGCATCTTAAGAGCAGCTCAGAAGAAAAATAAGCTTCCCTTAAACAAATAAACTCCAGAAAATCTTGTTCATTAGAGCAGAGCTGAGGCATCAGTATGAAAATTTTATGAACATGTATAAAGCATATTCCTCATACCTAGGTAATTGCCTGAATTGCAGTACTAGCCACTTTGGTTGAGTGGTTAAAGACACAAAGCTGTAAACTGGGAGTCTGTGAGTTCTAGCCCCACCTTAGGCATGAAAGCCAGCTGGGTGACTTTGGGCCACTCATTCTCTTTTAGTACAAGTCACCTTCACAGGGTGTTGTCGTGGGAAAAATAGGAGGAGTATTAGGTAAATTGCAATCTTGAACTGTTTATAAAAATGAAAGAGGGATATAAATGAATACATTTGTGGCTGTTACCTTTTAAAACTAGTTTGTTCACATTCTTTTGCTTAAATTAGATATATCATCTCATTATTGCATATGGAAAAACAAAGAGAAGTCCAAAGAAAGATGCAATTTAAATGACGGAATGTTTAGTTTTACTCAAGCAACTCCAATATCAATCTTTTCAACTTTCCCATTCCTAACATAGACTCACCTACGCTGGGCATCTGTTGGAGACTGAAGACTTTCCCAGCTGTGCCGCCGTGAGGTAGACATAGACCTGGTCAAAACTGGAAAGCCTTCCTCATCAAGCAGTGTCTGTTCCTGCTCACCTTTGACAAAGCTCCCCTGGTTCCCAGAAGTGCATGGACAAGCACAGACCTCCTCCAAGTAGTGATGTCCCATCTCAAAACTGGCCGGTGTATCCAAACTCTGAGTATTGGCAAGCATTTCCTCACAACCTGTGGAATGTTTTGCTGAGGAGCAAAAACCAGGAGTTTCCTGTGATGTCCAATCAAGCCGCAAGTGCATGTTACTATTCGTCTCTGTAGGCCCAGCAAATTCCAGATCCTTATAATACTCTGATCCCTGGAGAGCAGAGTCTATAGAGAGTAGATCTTCTGTGCTGCTATCAACAATACATGGAAGTGTGTCCTGTTCTGGAGAAGAAGTATCTTCCTGCCAATGGGAGGGAGCGAACAAACAAATAATTAAATATGTCAAGGGAGGTCAGACATAGATGGAGACATAGAAAGATACCCAGAGAGTTTAGTAATTAAAGTGTTGGGCTAGGAACTGGGAGAATGTGAGTTCTAGTTTTTCCTTAGGCATAAAAGTTGGTGACTTTGGGCCAATCACCAGGAGTTTAGTAGTTAAGGTGTTGGGCTAGGAACTGGGAGAATCAGTCATCATGCTAACCCATGAAGTGATTTGTACACATTTGGCTTAATAAAACCAGACTCTGTGGCAGGGGTCTGCAACCTTAAGCACTCAAAGAGCCATTTGGACCTGTTTCCCACAGAAAAACGGGCCTGGTGGCTCAGCAGACTGATAGCATTGTGATTAACACCAGCTGTCTGCAATTACTGTAAATTCGAATCTCACCAGGCTCAAGGTTGACTCAGCCTTCCATCCTTCCTAAGGTAGGTAAATTGAGGACCCAGTTTGTGGGGGCAATAAGCTGACTTTGTATAAATATACAAAAGGATGAAGGCTATTGCTTAACGCATTGTAAGCCGCCTTGAGTCTCCAGAGAAGGGCGGCATATGAATCAAATTAAAAAAGAAAAAAGAAAAAGAAAACACCGGGAGCCACAAAACCCTTCCCGTGCCTAACTATTTCCTGAGCCACCACAAAACTAGCCTATGTAGTTGAATTAAATGTTCTGTTTTCTTCTGAAACTTTTCTTTTCTTGGCCTACCAGGGATTGAAAAGCTCAATAAATCATGTGCCGGCTGGTGTTGCACATTGGTGGTTGTGACACATATTTTGAGTGACAGGGAGCTGCAGCAGAGGGGTGAAAGAGCCACATGTGGCTCCAGAGCCACAGGTTGCTGACCCCTGCTCTATGGTTTTGATTCATAGGCTGTGGTTATTATTCAGCATGGGTGAATAATAACCACAGTGCTTTAATCGAAAAATCATGGTTAGCAAATCATGAAGACCAATATATTGCATGCAACCAGAAAGCCAAAGGTAAGATTTAAACCAAAACAAAATAAAACCTCTGCTAATGTGGCTCTTTCTTCTTTGAACTTGGAGGGTTTCACATAATAATCTTTCCTCACTTGTGAAAATGTCTCCAAATGGAGGTTCTCCAGGCCTATTTAGGTAGGTATTTGAACAGATTGAAAACTGAGTGATTGAGATAAAATCACCTAAGATACAAAAGGATACAAGGTTGGTTGTGTCAATTTTTTTAAAGAAAGCACACATACACAACCTCTGGGAAGTTTTTGGTCTATGTCTTTTAAATCTCAGCCCTTTTATCTGGGATTAATGCTTGAAGCTTCTGCATTTTAAAAAAAGTTCTCTGCGTTAACTAGAGACTTCTTTTTAAACTGACTTTTGTTGTGACTTATCTACAGTCCATTTGTTGTCTGGGCGTTATCATCAGAGATTCTCCAGGTCAGCATATCTAGAACAGGTCTTTTCACATCGTCTCATCCAACTCCCTTTCTTACTAAAGATGCTGGCAACAGAATAACACGGTTGGAAGGGACCTTGGAGATCTTCTAGTCCAACCCCCTGCTCAGGCAGGAAACCCTATATCCGTGATGGCGAACCTATGGCACACATGCCACAGGTGGCACGCGGAGCCCTCTCTGAAGGTACACGAGCCATTGGCCAGCTCAGCTCCACTGCAGTTGCATGCATGCCTCCCGCCGGCCAGATGATTTTTGGGTCTGTGGCACGGGGGCAGGGTGCATGTGGGAGACATGTGCACATGCATGGGGTCCTGTGCACATGCGCGGGGTGGGAGGGGGTCTCGGATGCATGCATGGGGGTGGGGGAGCACAGGAGGGAGTGGTGCGCCCCCATGCCAAAACGGGCCACGGGGGGGTGCAGCATGCCCCCCGCGGCCCGTTTTTGGTCCCAGGAGGCTTCAGAGAGGCCTACCAGGCCCAAAATGGACTGTGGGGGGTTGCGCACACATGGCGGTGGGTGCGGGGTGGTCGTGTGTGCATGTGCGGGGGTGGGGGAGCACGGGGGGTTGCGTGCACATGCATGGGAAAGTGTGGGGGGGTCACACATACATGCACGGGGAGCAGGGCATGCGGGGGCATTGCATTATGGGTGTAGGCACACAAGTGTGTGACCCCCCCCCATGCTCCCCCGCCCCGCTTTTGGCATGCGACGGCAAGAAGGTTAGCCATCACTGCCCTATATCATTTCAGACAAATAGGTTGAGCCCCTCTTCTTTGTGGCAGCCCCTGAGATATTGGAACACTGCTATATCATGTCAACCCAAGTCCTTCTTTTCAATAAACTAGACATAACCAATTCCTGAAACTGTTCTTCATATTTTTTAATCTCCAGTCCCCTACTCATCTTTGCTGCTCTTCTCTGCACTCTTTCTAGAGTCTCAACATCTTTTTTATATTGTGGTGACCAAAACTCGATGCAATATTCCACGTATGTTCTCACCAAAGCATTATAAAGTGGTACTAACACTTCACGTGATCTTGATTCTATCCCTTGATTCTATCCTGTAGTTTAATGAAGTAATAACCTCCTGCACATCAGCTATTCAGTCTGCCACTGAATTCTGGAGCTTTTCTTAGAATGATATGCCCAGTGTCTGGAGACAGTTTCAAATCAAGAAGCTCACAAACAAAATTTCCACCGCTGAAAATGCTGCCCTGCAGCTTCAGATACATATATGGTAGGAATAGGTGCTCCATCAAACTGTTCCACTGCATGGGAAATCACTCACCAATCAAGAAGGAGAAAAAAAATACATCTTTACAGCTCATGGAAGAAACCTAGTTCTGACTGAAGTGAAAGTTTAAATGCTTTTTGGAATTACCATCTTGAAGGGGTTGTTCCTCTAATCTCCTTGTTGCATAGTTGCATATAAAAATGGTTCCACAAGCTGCATATAAAATTGGGTCCACAAGCTGCATATAAAAATGGTTCTACAAATACATATAAGTGGAAGGATCCTTAGCTCGCCTTCCTAAGTACCTAGTTTATAGTCTGGTCAGAGAGCAGTGCAAACCTAGGTTACTTTCTTCCTCCAAACACACAGTTAGATTGTCCTCTCAGTTAGTAGACCACAGTTAATATACTCACCCTCTCCTCTGCCATGCTGCCAAAGAAGACCTCATCCTCAGCAATCAAGGATGGAGACAAAGTGTTTGGGCTGTTACACCCTGAGATGGGGACAGTGCAACTGCTGGGGAAATCTTGTGCGCTTCGCTTGCAGTCTGACCCTGAGTGAAAGGAGCAGAAGGACCCGGTTACAAGGCAGAAAGGCTGTGGGCTAAAGGAAGAAGCAGCCACTTATCTCTCCACCAGCTGAAGAATACAGAAATAGCTGCAACAGTGTAGGAAAAACACAGCATTTGCCTTCACTCTTCCTATAGTATCCTCCTGATTCCACATTTCATTGTTGAAATGAAATGTAGAATCTGCTATTATTAGTATTAGTTCTTAGTTAATGATCTAATATTGAGATAATGTTGATTTTATTGGTATGAGGTGTTTTATTGGTATGAGGAGATCGCCTTCTGTTACCGATAGCCTCCCACCGGCCAGTACGCTCCCACAGAGAGGGACTCCTCAGGGTGCCGTCGGTCAAACAATGCCGACTGGCGACCCCCAGGGGGAGAGCCTTCTCTGTGGGGGCACCCGCCCTCTGGAATGAATTGCCCCCGGAGATACGGATGATCCCTGACGTACGCACCTTTCGCCGTGCCCTCAAGACGTTATTGTTCCAACAAACTGGGCTGGCCTAAACATTAATTTTAATGGGTTGTTTTTATTTTTTAATGATATCGGGGCCAAATTATTTAATATGTTTTTTAAATTGCTTTTAATTTTATATATGTGTTTGTTTTATTTCTTGGCTGTGCACCGCCCTGAGTCCTTCGGGAGAAGGGCGGTATAAAAATTAGATTAAATAAATAAATAAATAAATAAATAAATAAATGAATAAATAAATAAATAAATACTACATACTGTTTCTGAAGTGCCAATTCCTTATCTAGACATGTAGTAGAAATGTAGTTGCTACTGTACGTTTTCTTTTGGAATTAATTTCCTTCCCATAGCAAATCTTATTCCAAGTCTGTCTCATTGTTTTGCCACCGTGTCCCATTGGGAACATGGCACAGCTAATCTGATACTGGTTGATGGACTCCTACTAAAAACCAGGGCCCATACTTCCAAACACATTTTCAAAATCAAGCATTCATCCTGGAGAAAATCTAGAATGTATGCTAACAGATTTATATTATTCTTTACTTTATATATTTAAATCTTTGCAATTTTAGAAGTTCAACCCCTATGCACGGTCTGCTTTTTTTAAATTAACCTGCCAAGCAACTCGAGAGAGTCACTTTGAATCTTTAGGTCTTGGAAAGCTTCACTGCTCTGCCAGTCTATTTACTTCAAACAGCTGTTGTCTAAAACGCAGTGCACAGTTTTCTTGCTTTGTTCCTTTGCACAGGGAACCTTGCACACTTTGCACAGGGAACCTTGCTCTTAAATCTGGACAAATGAGTGAAGGCCGCCCACACACACATTCTAGGAGTCAGGCGGGAACAGCTTAAATTAGATTCAGATCAGGGCTGCTGCAGCTCCAGCTTTCCTCCCTTCCTTGCAAAAGACAAAACCAGCTAACAGTTTCTTGTCATCGCTAGTCATGTTTGAAGTGACACTCCAACCTGGGAACAGATCCAGTGGCGTTGTTGCCCAGAGTGTCCCGGGCCCACCCAGAGTTCTCAACGGTTATCCTCAAATCTGATCTCCTTCCCTCAAACAATCCAGCCTCAATACACGATAAATCAGTCCCCGTAAACTCTGGAACATGTTGTGCAGAGAAGAGGTGGCTCTGTGAGGGGAGAGCACTGAGGGCCGTAGGGAGACCATTTTAGGCAATATGCAGGCCTCTAGCAATGGGGATGCCAAGCTCTTTCCCCCAGCATGTTCCCCTTTGGCTGTCTGGCCCTACTTCAGAGTGGTTGAGTGATTTCCAGGTGGTACCATGGAGAGAGACAAACTCTGCCAAAACACTGAAAGGGGGGGGGGAGGCCAGACATCCTCCTGCTTTATTTATGGTGATGAGATGATAGGAGAGCATACTCAAAGGCAAGAAGATAGAACGGAGCATTTCACCGTGCTTTGAAAATACTGGTATCTCTGTGCTACACAGAGCCATTACGTACATGCAGGAAACAAGGCAGTTGTCCAATAGGATTTCTTTTTAAAAGGAGTGAAGAAGATATTTTTTTAAAGAACCCACCTTAGTCAGATTCTTTCCCAAAGCAACTGACATGTTAATGGCTGTTTAATCCCTGATGTCCCAAAGGTGCTTTTTTCAAGAGGCAACTGGACTTCCTGGTTTTTCTTTGAAGATGTTTCGCTTCTCATCCAATAAGCTTCTTCAGCTCTGACTGGATGGTGGGGTCAGAGCTGAAGAAGCTTCTTGGATGAGAAGCAAAATGTCTTCAAAAGAAAAACAAGAAAGTCCAGTTGCCTCTTGGAAAAAAGCACCTTTGGGACAACCATGACCTGGATGACTGAGAATCTCCATATACATTTATCTCATACATGTTTAGTCTATCCTGGGATCTTCATGTGCCAATCTTAGACATTTGTTTAGATACCTGCACAAGCTCACAGGCTCATTGACGCAAGTAGGACAATATGTATGTTTTTGTTTTCTCTAAATACCAGCAGTCCTTGACTTACAACCATAACGGAGCCTGTCTATTATGGTCATAAGTCATGATGGTTGTAAAGCAGGTCACCTATCTGACCAACCCAATTTTATGATCTTTTTTGTGGCAGTTATTTAATGAACACCGCAGTCATTAAGCAGACCCCATTGTTCACTATGGGTTGTTTTTTGCTGAAAACTGGAAGTAAACACCAAATTTCAGCAAAAAGTCCTAAATTGCAGATACAGTATGTGAGCTCAGGACACTTCAGACAGTTGTAAATGTGGGCCAGTTGCCAAGCACCTGAAATGTAGAATTTTTTTATTGGCCAAGTGTGATTGGACACACAAGGAATTTGTCTTGGTGCGTATGCTCTCAGTGTACATAAAAGAAAAGATACGTTCATCAAGAACCATAAGGTACAACACTTAATGATAGTCATAGGGTACAAATAAGCAATCAGGAATCAATATCAATATAAATCATAAAGATACAAATAACAAATGTCACATGATTGCGGGATTGGGGGGGGGGCATAGGAACTTTAGAAATGGATCATAAATACCTTTTTTGGGAGGATAAGCAAACTAAGCAACCAGTCGTAAGTTGAGGGCTACCTGTACATTAATGCTACATTAATGCAACACGCTTCACCTGCTTGTTAAACTGACCAATTTTCTGTCTAACAAATTCACTGAACTGAATCAAATGGCTGCATTTATTCAATACATTAAGCTGCCCAGAAGCCTTAAGTCTGCCATGCAGATTCATTTCAGTCTGCCAGAGCATGTCCATATTCAAAGCCTCCCTCAGTCATCAATCTCACAGGAAAAAATTAGGAGAGTCTTTTTTCCCAATTGAACGAGGTTACGGGGGGGGGGGGGGGGGGAATTAGAAGAAAATTCACAATATCTTGAAAGTCAGATGAGTTCTCATACCATGCTACAACACTTCTTCTACTAATCGTAGATACCTTAGCCTTTACTCCAACATCAAATGACCCAGACAACTAACTCTAGTTGACAGCCACTTTTGACCAATATCAAAGCCATTTTTGCAATGACAACACTTTAAAAGTTTTATTAACTGTGATTGGGGGGGAAACCCAATTTATCCCCATATCCGAGTCTGGGGAGGTATAGAAGTAAGAAGAACATGAGAGATGTGACTGACCTATTATGAGGCCTTCCATCTCTGTCTAGAGAATGAAAGAGACACTTAATCTTTAATTTTCATCTGGGTTTGAATGACATCAATCAGAATTGGCCAGTCAGCTAAAACCCCAAAGGGTAACCTTCCTCCACAGAGAACGTCTGTCATGGGAACTCAGGCAGGAATATTATTCCTTGACACCCACAGTATAAGACTCTGCGCGCCTCTTGCTCATTGATCTACATACAGTTTGTCACAGGAAAGAAACAGTCCTAAACATTGCAAAAAGCAGACTGTCCCCAAAGAATACTGTTTGCTCTAAGAGACATTAAACGTATTCTGCAATTGCCAATCACACATCCTGGTAGGAACCATAAAAGGTTATGGCTCTTGTACTAAACAAAAGGACAGCCTGGGGAAGAAGCTCCAGTGTGTGTGTGTGTGGGGGGGAGCAATTATAAAGCAGCACCACAGCTGTGGGAAAAATTATATCCTATGTTTGAAACCCATATATGTGGCCAATCCGAGATTCAAATATCGGAGATACACAGGCATGCCTGACCTAGAGAAAAATAAAGTAAAAACAAGTAGATGGAATCATGGGTATATACCTGGAGGAGAATATCTCCCTCCCAAAAAACCCCAACAACTGCTGGGTTTTTTATTTTTTGTTTTTTTTTTGGAAAATTTAACCAGCACTCTAAAAATTTGGTTCTATAAGTAATATACTTTTGTTCTGTTTATTAGCCAGGCTCTGTTGCAAGGCCACAATCTCCCTCTATGAATAAATTAACTCCGAAGAGCAGAGCTTCCCCTTTATACATATAGATACACACACACATATAAAGGCAAAAGTCCAAAGAGCCATGGCTGAACCAAATATACCCAAGGTGTAAATCACTTGGGAAGAAGAGCGCAGCCAAATATTTACATTGGGCCCACTTTCCCCTCATGACAACCGCTTCTCGGTGGTTGTGGAATCCATAGACAAGTCAGCCTGTTCTGCCTCACTGTCCCTTAGGTGACAGCCGTCCCCAGACATGGGCCCTTGCAACGTTACCTCGCTTGAAGGACCATCTCTTCATCCACCTCCTGGAGAAGGATGGCCAAGAATGATTGAGAAGAGAGTCGGCCATGGAGCAGCCCGTCTCCGTCTGGATTGCCTGGGAGAAGTGGAGGACAGACAAAGGCGACTCCTCTGGAGCTCCGACCCAGAGGGAGTGGAGGAGGCAGCAAGCAAGGGCTTTGTCAAAGTCATCAGCTGAGAGAAGGCAGAGGGAGCCAGGGAGAGAATTAGCCAGACCTGCTCCAGTACAAGACCAACTGACAGCAGCAACAGCTGCCTGCTTTCTGTCCAAGCCAAGCAGTGCCTTTGACGAGGGGGACTGACATATAAAGGAGATCTATTTTACTTGCAGATGATTGTTGTTGCTGTATTTAAAAGATAACCATTTTATTTAATTGTGCATCTTCGGGTATTTTAAAATGTATCAGGCATAAAAAGTGGTTCTCTTTTGTGAGACGGTGGTTAATATAGAATAGAATAACAGAGTTGGAAAGGATCTTGGAGGTCTTCTAGTCCAACCCCCTGCTTAGGCAGGAAACCCTATAACATTTCAGACAAATGGTTATCCAACATCTTCTTGAAAACTTCCAGTGTTGGAGCATTTACAGCTTCTGGAGGCAAACTGTTCTCCTGATTAATTGTTCTAACTGTCAGGAAATTTCTCCTTAGTTCTAGGTTGCTTCTCTCCTTGATTAGTTTCCACGCATTGCTTCTTCATTGCTCAGGTGCTTTGGAGAATAGCAATAGCCCTTAGACTTATATATCTCTTTATAGTGCTTTACAGCCCTCTCTAAGTGGCTTACAGAGTCAGCCTATTGCCCCCAACAATTTGGGTCCTCCTCATTTTACCCACCTCGGAAGGATGGAAGGCTGAGTCAACCTTGAGCCTGGTGAGATCTAAACTGTCAGATTGCAGGCAGCCAGCAGGCAGCAGAAGTAGAAGTAGTGCACTCTAACCACTGCGCCACCGCAGCTCATAGCTTGACTTCCTCTTCTTTGTGGCAGCCCCTGAGATACTGGAACACTGCTAACATGTATAGTTCTGTTCACAACATACTCGATATCATAAGATCGACAACCATATTTTAGCCTAGTATGCCATTCAAATCCAATTTCTATGGTTAATATATGGCTGCCTTAGGGTGTCATGTGGACCAAAAGAGAAGAGTTTTGTGGTTAATCAAATGAATCAGGAGACTTTTCTGTGTCTGCCTACATGACTGTCATTCCATGTTGACCTTGTCTTTCAAAGTAAAATGCCTAAAACAAAACCTAAATGATGACAATGTGAACTTTGGGAGGAAGAGATATAAATCAGTCACAGAATACCTGATTTTCAAGTCAAAAGCTTCAGGGTCAATCTGTGCCATTTCCAGACACAAAAAAATGGAAAATACATTCAATATTTTTGAAATTAGAAACGGGGGACTAATGAATGTAAATAAAATACATTACAGTACTTAATGGTTATGGGGAATGGAAGTGCAAAGTTTCAGAGATAAGCAGCTGGAGATGGTTATTTCCTGAATAAAGAAATGCTTCCGAGCATAAGAAAGAAAGAAAAAAAAAGTCTCTTCAATGCCACAAACACTGTTCCAAACAATATGCCCAGAACTGGACTCTGCCTCTTCTAAAATCAAGAAAAAAGTTGTATTAATGAAGACCAGAGAAGACAGATTACAGATTTGCTGGCTTTACTACATTTCTCACTGAACTTTCAAGGTGCTGCAGGTAGTCCTCGCGTTACAATCATTCATTTAATGACCATTCACGGTTATGACGCTGCTGAAAAAAGAGACAACCACTTCTCATACTTTGCAGTGTCCCCACAGTCACATGATGAAACATCATACCCCAAACCAAAAAGAGTTAGGTTCAAAAAGGGATGAACATGTAAAGAATGAAGGTGAGAAGTCAGAACTTAACTCTTATTTTGTACCCGTTTCCTCTCCGAGGCGAAAGGGAGCTGGAGCTGGTTATGATTATATTACTGGTGGGGTGAGGGGTGGGACTACTCAGAATAAATCAGGAGAGGGTTAGAGATAATTAAGCTAAGACAAACAAATTCAACTTCTGGGACCAAATGGATTACATAAAGGAAGTAGCAGGGGTGATTTCAAAACCATTCTTGATCATCTTTGAGAACTGGAGAACTAGTAAGATCCCAGACAACTGGAGAGTGGGCAGCCAAATGTCTTCCCCATTTTCAGAAAGGGAAGAAGGAGGACTTGGGCAAATTATGGATCAGTCAGCTTGATGTCTATACAGAGCAAAGTCTTCAAACAGCCAAAGATGTTTATGAGCGTGTGAATAAGCAGGCTATGATTAATAGGTTAGCTAGATTTACCAGAAAGATATCATGCTAAAGCACTCTTTCTCAACCTTGGACACTTTAAGGTGTGTGGGCTTCAACTTCCAGAATTCCCTAGGCTTAGATGCTATCTTAGATGCTATCTTAGGAATGCATTAACAGGAGTATAATAGGAAGTTATAGAAAGTTGTTTTTCCATTCTGCTCAATTCTGATCTGGACTACTATGCTTGGTTCCAGGGGCTACAGTTATGCCATCTTCAAATTTGAAATCTCAATAGATTTCATAAAATCTCCACAGACATCCAAACTTGAAAGTGTCCCCTAGCCCCCACTTTGAAATGACTAATAAAAATGTCACAAAGACAGTGACAAATTCAGAACACGGCTACCAAAACGATGAAGGGCCTTAGGAATCAAGCCTTATGATGAACAGTTAAAGGATCTGCATGTGTTTATCCTAAGAAAAGTGGACTGATATATCAAAAGTCAAAAGTCCAGAGGGCAGCCCCAATCATGTGATTGTATTCAATCACACCATTGCAGCCGCCATCTTGAATTTCCCAGCCACTTTAAAGTAGCCATCTCAATCATAAGCAATGGCAATAGTTGCCACATGAAGTGATGAGTTCTCTTTCCTTAATGATCTACAGACAAAGGCTGCCTGGTCATATGTCAGCAATACTCTAGCACAGGCCTGTCAAACTGGCAACCTGCAGGCCGGATGCGTCACGCACAGGCCACGCCCACCTTGGTTCTGCAAAGACAAAAAAACCACATTGCGATATGTCACGATACATCATGATGCAGCATGTATTATGATCAAATCTGACACCCGTGCTCTAGCAGATCCTGCAATGAACAAGAGGATTGAGTAGAAGATCTCTTAAGATCCTTCTAACTATTTCTATGGATAGCTGAGACCCAACAAGGCACCGAAAGATACCATCTGTAACTTCTGTTGCTTCAGTTCACCTTTCTATTTAGGCAACAAAAGGTACTTTTCTTATTTTGAAAGGCAAAAGGTATCAATACCTAAGTCAATGCCAAATGTCTATTTTTTTTAAAAAAAATAATAATTTACCATTGAAGGCTGGTCTAGGACTATAATAATAAAGGCAGATATGATTTGAACTTATTATTTGGCCTGGAAGGCAGAGTCAAGCATTTCCCTGCTAAAGAAAATGACTAGTGCCTCCTCACAATCATCCCATCAATAATTCTGGGGCACAGAGGAGCCATTATTTAAATCTGCAACTATATCATGGTACTGTACTTTAATGTTGGTTTTGGCACTGCTCAACTCCGAACGACTCTGGGCAGCTCAGAATGTAGAATATGGTAGGCTGTCCAGTTCCCAAACTGGGATTTTCGGTTTACTAGTTCCTGGAAAATGGCTAATATTCTAAGGGCCCAAGATGAACCAGGCAGATGGCTATAGACTTCCCCTCCCTTTTCCCTTTTAATTCTGTTTGATTTTGGATGCTATACTGCCACCCAATGGATAGTTTCTGTCTCTCTCAACTATCCTTAGCCCACGCATATATACACAAATGCCATATCTTAAAATTGAATAGAATAGAATTCTTTATTGGCCAAGTGTGATTGGACACACAAGGAATTTGTCTTGGTGCATATGCTCCCGGTGTATATAAAAGAAAAGATACATTTGTCAAGAATCATAAGGTACAACACTTAATGATAGTCATAGGGAAACAGTCAATATAAATCTTAATGATACCAGCAACAAGGTTACAGTCATACAGTCAAGTGGGAGGAGATGGGTGATAGGAACGATGAGAAGATTAATAGTAATGCAGACTTAGTAACTAGTTTGACAGTGTTGAGGGAATTATTTGTTTAGCAGAGTGATGGCGTTTGGGAAAAAACTGTTCTTGTGTCTAGTTGTTCTGGTGTGCAGTGCTCTATAGCGTCGTTTTGAGGGTAGGAGTTGAAACAGTTTATGTCCAGGATGTGATGGGTCTGTAAATATTTTCACAGCCCTCTTTTTGACTCGTGCAGTATACAGGTCCTCAATGGAAGGCAGGTTGGTAGCAATTGTTTTTTCAAACAATTTATTTTTAAAAAAATACTTTTACAATGCTTATCACAGGGGTTCCCTTGAAGGAAGCAGATCTCCAATCTCTGCCTTCAGTTTTCAGCTGTCAGTGAAGTTTTGTAATCATTTTTTTTTTTTAATGAGGAGGGCTGTCTTAGTCTATTGTGGAAAAAATTCAGGAACCTGATAGCACTTTTTTGACCAATATTAAATTTTATTAAAATTCACCAGCTTTCATGAACTGCAGTCGCAACTCATGAAAGCTGATGCCTTTTAATAACATGTACAGTGTTAGTTGAAAAGGTGCTACAAATGTCTTTTTTCCCATATAAAAAGTCACAGGCAGGATTGTGTTCAAATTAAAATAATAGCAAATTGTGGGATCTTACATAGTAGCAGGTTTGTAATATGCATTTATGAGTAATCCTCAAGTTATGACTTCAATTGAGCCTGGCAATTACGGCTGTAAGTTGTGACGTTTGTCAAGTGCGTCACCATGTGATCAGACCTGATTTTACAACAGTTGTAAAGCGAATGTCATGGTCATTAATCAGAATAGAGCAGGAAGGGACCTTGGAGGTCTTCTAGTCCAACCCCCTGCTTAAACAGGATTTATATACCATTTCAGATAGGTGGCTGACCAGGCTTTTCTTAAAAATCTCCACTGATGAAGCACCTACAACATCTGAAGGCAAGCTGTTCTACTGGTTAATTGTCCTCACTGTTAGGAAGTTCCTCCTTAATTCCAGGTTGCTTCTCTCCTTGATTAGTTTCCATCCA